GAAAAAACTTTAGTAGCCCTAAAGATTAATCTAAATTTATTTATAGAAATAAATATGTCTGCTTGAAAGAATGAAGAATATGGTAAACAAGTTGCTATAAAGAATGCATAATTATATAATATTGGTATATAGCCTATATAAACATGGTATTTCATTAAAAAGAAGATTTTTCTTGTTCTTTATGAGAAGTGGTTTTATTTAATTTTAACATAAAGTCATGTTGCATTCGCTGCCTGCATAATTTTAGCACCTGATTCGCTAAAGTATTTATCCAAAGCAAATTACTGTGCAAACCTGTTATTATATATTTGTTCAAAATGTTATTTGCACAGCACAAATCCTCATCTTGGGGGTCAATTCTGAATGCTTACTTGTGAAGAATACAGCAGACTCATACAGTCTGATATATCGTTCAGCATCACTCCTCCACTGCCATCCAGTCACATGAATAGTCTCTTTAAATAACGAGTTTTGTATATACTACCGTATTGTCCCGAATATAAGACGATATTTTTTTCTTGGAAATACATCTGAAAAAACGCGGTCGTATTACTACTGATGCCATGATGGAAAAAAACTTTTCACTTTTAAACAAATTTCAGTTTGTATAACGTTTATTGTTAAGAAAACACAATCTGCAATTGGACAAACTTGCACAAAAAGGTGCCGTGAAGCTAAGATGCAGATGAAGTTAAATGCACATGAGGCAGTGATATACCAGCACAGATAACACCTGGTTTGCAGATGGTTTGTGAATAAAACAGGTTTTTGCACTGAAATACCAGCATGAACGTGACATAATGATTTAGTGAATTTGCCCATGTTTTTTTTTTCTCCTCTTCATAATGCATCAGGGTTATAGTTATCTCAATCTAAAACCAAAAGATATTTCCATTAATTGAATTAAAGTAAACTTTAACTTTAAAATATAAAAACCTTAAACATATGTTATTTCAGCTAGTTACCAAAGCGACATTTGTCATTTTTATTTAGTTTAACTTGATGCACTAAAATAGCTAAATCTTGAAATTATTAAAAACTGTATAGACACATTTAAATATAAATAAATGACAAACACAAAAAATATTAGAATGTTAACGAAATTTAAAATGAAATCAGAAATTATACAAATTAAAGCCAATTCAAAATAATAAACATAATAACATAATAATAACACCGTAATGCAGTATATTTAAAGGGAATCACACAAGTCTTTATGAATGTCTGAGTAAGTTATGCAAAGGTGTCAAATAATACGGAAACATCTTATAAAATTTCCTTTTTTCCGGTTTTTTTTTGTTTTGTTTTGTTTTTGTTTCTCACAGGCTGAAGCAGCACCTCAAATGGATTTCAAAACAGGGTCGCAAAAAGGTGCTTGACACACTTCAAGATTAATTTTACATTTATTTAAAAGGTTTTCTTAGATGTAATATTTTGGGTTATGTTGTAAATGATTAATAAGCCCATAAATTAATTTATGGATCAGTATCTCCCTGTTAATGCTACTCGAATCCTGTAGGTGCCAGTGAGATTTCAGACTCGTGTAAACCACTGAAGAAACGCAGCAGAGCATCTACTGATGTGGAGATGGCCAGCTCACTGTACAGAGACACTTCCGACTCTGACTCCAGAGGCCTCAATGATCCACAGGTCAGACTACACTCAAAAATACAGCCAGAGTGCCAGCAGGATTTTTTGATTGACACCTTAGCCATACACTCCTCATTGGGTTACGCAATTGTTATGACAGATTTGTTCATTTAAAATGCCTATCAGGTTTTGTAGCCAAATGGACTCTGCTTGTAAAGTCAGATTTTTGCATCCCTTGCAGACTGGATTCGGGAAGCGCTCGGACAGTCCTGCTACAGTAGATGCTGACGGATCTGATGCGCAGTCCGTGGACTCCAGCCTGTCCCGTCAAGGAGGAAGTTCCTCAAAAAAGGACACAGTCTGCCATGTAAGCTCTATAAACACTGGGTTTATATAACATTATATGTAATGACATTAGATGCACTACTGTTCAAAAGCTTTGATAAACACAGTAAAATCAGTAATATTGTTAAATAGTATTAAAATGTAAAATAACTATGTGAATATATTTCAAAATGTAATTTATTCCTGTGCTGGCAAAGCTGATTTTTCAGCAGCCATTAGTTTAGTCTGCTTATTTGATGCTAAAGTAGCATTTCTTATAATTATCAGTAGGGATGCTCCGATTGATCGGCTACCGATCACTATCGGCCGAAAATCACGTTGGGATGATCGATCGGCGGTCTCTAAAAAGGCCGATCTCAAAAAAACGATCTCAAGCTGATGACACTGCCGTGAGAGGTTTGGCACGACATGCAGCGTCACCGTCTCTGTCTGGCGCGGGGGAAATAATTATAATTCTGAAGGTGAGGTACTCA